CTTGGTCCAGCAAACATGTCCGCCTCTACCACCTCTTCTTCCACCGTGTCCTCAGCCGCCACCCCCGTGCCAAGTCCCATTACCCGACCGGCATATCACATGTGCAGGGCGCAACGGTGTCACGCTGTGCTGCACCTGGTATGCCTTGGCGAACGTAGTCACACAGGGGAGGAACTTCTGAGTGTAATGAACAGAGAAATCGACAGATGGCTGTCTCCGCGCAAACTGAAAATCGGAACCATGTTGACCGACAACGGAAAGAACATGGTGTCTGCTCTACGTCAAGGAAGGTTGTGCCATGCGCCATGCATGGCTCACGTGTTCAATCTGGTTGTCAAGCGGTTCCTAAAATCCACCATCCCACTGCAAGACATCCTTAAAATGTCACGTAAACTTTGCATGCATTTCAGCAATTCCTACACCGCAAAGCACACCCTCATTGAGATGCAGCGGCAGAACGGAATTCCACATCATCGCCTGATCTGCGACGTTGCAACAAGGTGGAATTCAACCCTACACATGTTAGACCGCCTTTACGAGCAGCGAAAGGCCATCACCGATTTCCTGATGTTACAAGCGGATAAAGGTACTCCCCTGTGTAACTTCGATGTCAGCCATTGGCAGCTCATGCGTGACATAGGGTGCTGGCAGATTACGGGCCTCCCATAGCTGCTGCCAGGCCCCTAATCTGCCATGGGCCCCTGTACCGCCTCCTCATGCTGCTGCCAGGTCCAGAGTCTCTCATGCCATGTGCCACTTTCAGGTCTCCTCACACTGCTGGTGTGTTGAATTTTTTGACATAGGGTGCTGGCAGATTACGGGCCTCCCATAGCTGCTGCCAGGCCCCTAATCTGCCATGGGCCCTTATATACCGCCTCCTCATGCTGCTGCCAAGTCCAGAGTCTCTCATGGGTCCCTGTACGGCCTCCCATTGCTGCTGTCTCCATCGCCACACTCTGCCATGTGCCACTTTCAGGTCTCCTCACACACTGCTGTTGTGTTCAATTTTTTGACATAGGGTGCTGGCAGATTACGGGCCTCCCATAGCTGCTGCCAGGCCCCTAATCTGCCATGGGCCCCTGTACCGCCTCCTCATGCTGCTGCCAGGTCCACAGTCTCTCATGCCATGTGCCACTTTCAGGTCTCCTCACACTGCTGGTGTGTTGAATTTTTTGACATAGGGTGCTGGCAGATTACGGGCCTCCCATAGCTGCTGCCAGGCCCCTAATCTGCCCTGGGCCCCTATATACCACCTCCTCATGCTGCTGCCAAGTCCAGAGTCTCTCATGGGTCCCTGTACGGCCTCCCATTGCTGCTGTCTCCATCGCCACACTCTGCCATGTGCTACTTTCAGGTCTCCTCACACACTGCTGTTGTGTTCAATTTTTTGACATAGGGTGCTGGCAGATTACGGGCCTCCCATAGCTGCTGCCAGGCCCCTAATCTGCCATGGGCCCCTGTACCGCCTCCTCATGCTGCTGCCAGGTCCACAGTCTCTCATGCCATGTGCCACTTTCAGGTCTCCTCACACTGCTGGTGTGTTGAATTTTTTGACATAGGGTGCTGGCAGATTACGGGCCTCCCATAGCTGCTGCCAGGCCCCTAATCTGCCATGGGCCCCTATACCGCCTCCTCATGCTGCTGCCAAGTCCAGAGTCTGTCATGGGTCCCTGTACGGCCTCCCATTGCTGCTGTCTCCATCACCACACTCTGCCATGTGCCACATTCAGGTCTCTTCACACTGCTGGTGTGTTGAATTTTTTGACATAGGGTGCTGGCAGATTACGGGCCTCCCATAGCTGCTGCCAGGCCCCTAATCTGCCATGGGCCCCTGTACCGCCTCCTCATGCTGCTGCCAGGTCCAGAGTCTCTCATGCCATGTGCCACTTTCAGGTCTCCTCACACTGCTGGTGTGTTGAATTTTTTTGACATAGGGTGCTGGCAGATTACGGGCCTCCCATAGCTGCTGCCAGGCCCCTAATCTGCCATGGGCCCCTATATACCACCTCCTCATGCTGCTGCCAAGTCCAGAGTCTCTCGTGGGTCCCTGTACGGCCTCCCATTGCTGCTGTCTCCATCGCCACACTCTGCCATGTGCCACTTTCAGGTCTCCTCACACACTGCTGTTGTGTTCAATTTTTTGACATAGGGTGCTGGCAGATTACGGGCCTCCCATAGCTGCTGCCAGGCCCCTAATCTGCCATGGGCCCCTATACCGCCTCCTCATGCTGCTGCCAAGTCCAGAGTCTCTCATGGGTCCCTGTACGGCCTCCCATTGCTGCTGCCAGGAGGCAGCAGGGTCGCAGCAGTGTCAGTGGAGGCAAACGGCCACGGAGTAGAGCACCAGCTCCACTGCAGCCTACCACCACGGCCAGTAGTGGTGCCGGTGTGCACGGAGGAAGTAGCAGTCAGCCAGTGAGGAGTAGCGGGTGCAAAGTTTCCTACTCGGCGGTGTGGCAAGTTTTCGTCAAGCCGCCCGAGGAAGTAAACGTAGCCGTATGTCGACTATGTGGCCAGAAAGTCAAGCGTGGCCAGGGGGCCCATGTTGGGACTACAGCGTTGCGTCAGCATATGCAGCGTCGCCATTCGGTGGCCTGGGAAAACCGTGATAAAGATACGGCGGTTCTGCCTGCCCCAGCCCAGGGTTCCATTTTGTCATAGGGTGCTGGCAGATTACAGGCCTCCCATAGGTGCCGCCAGGCCCCAAATTGGCCATGGGCCCCCGTACCACCTGGTCACGCTGCTGCTGAGCCCACAGTGTGACCTGGGTCCCTGTACCGCCTCCCATTGCTCCCACTCTGCCATGTGCCACTTTGAGGTCTCCTCACACTCCTGCGGTTTTCCATTTTGTCATAGGTTGCTGGCAGATTACAGGCCTCCCATAGGTGCCGCCAGGCCCCAAATCGGCCATGGGCCCCCGTACCGCCTGGTCACGCTGCTGCTGAGCCCACAGTGTGACCTGGGTCCCTGTACCGCCTCCCATTGCTCCCACTCTGCCATGTGCCACTTTGAGGTCTCTTCACACTGCTGGTGTGTTCCATTTTTTGACATAGGGTGCTGGCAGATTACGGGCCTCCCATTGCTGCTGCCAGGCACGTAATCTGCCATGGGCCCCCGTACCGACTCCTCATGCTGTGACGTTGCAACAAGGTGGAATTCAACCCTACATATGTTAGACCGCCTTTACGAACAGCGAAAGGCCATCACAGATTTCCTGATGTTAAAAGCGGATAAAGGTACTCCCTGTGTAACTTAGATGTCAGCCATTGGCAGCTCATGCGTGACACCTGCGCTTGCTCAGGCCCTTTGAGGAGGCCACGCTATTCGTGAGTCGGCAGGACTATGGGATGAACGAGGTCAAATCTGCCATGGGCCCCGTACCGCCTGGTCACGCTGCTGCTGGTCCCACAGTGTGACCTGGGTCCCTGTACGGCCTCCCATTGCTCCCACTCTGCCATGTGCCACTTTGAGGTCTCCTCACACTCCTGCGGTTTTCCATTTTGTCATAGGTTGCTGTATGGCCTCCCATTGCTGTTGCCTCCACCGCCACACTGTGGCTCCAAACACTGGTTTTGGCCCCGTGACTGGCCAAATGAGTGAAGTGTGCGGTGATTCTAAGATCGACGGCACTCATCTGCATGTCATACTGACTGATAGTATTATTTATCTTCTCCAGCAGACTCCAAGGGCATTTAAATTAAAGGTACAGTGTTCTGCACTAATATTAAGTCTCTCTGAAGCCTAGAAACACCCCTTTTTTAAGTTAAATTCACAGCGAATATATTCGACTCGAATCGAATATTGTCCACGAATTCGCAGAATCAGTTGAATCGAATTTTTGAATACTTCGCTCATCTCTAGTTGTAATCCTAGAGGGACACAATTGCTTGGATGTATCTAGCTTGAATTAGAAGTTGGGAGACCTCTCCCCTTCTGGCATGGGTTTGAAGACCCCTGGACAGCAGCCTTCCAAGAGCTGCATAGAAAATCACACTTTTTTGTGGCTCCAAAGATATCCATGAGCACATAAAGTATGAAGGGGGAAGCAGCGAAACTCCAGCTTGTAACCTCTTGACACCATACTGCAGAATTAGTCCTTTGTGATTTCCAAAGTCCAGATGGCTGTGAAAGTCAATAGGCATCCTCCCACCCAAGTCAGCAGTGAAGAAGACTTGCCTCGTGACCCAGAGGGGGTCTCATTTATCTTATGGAACTGGGATGTAGGCTTCTGCTTAGAACCTGAGGCTTGTCATTTACCAAAGAACTCTTCTTGGACTCCGAAGGTGTCACCAGTTTCTGACCTGTCACTTTCACCCTCTTCTTTAGGGGTGTGAGCATGCTTCTACTCACAGTTACCTTCAGGATGCAGGTATCCAAGGATGGTCAGAACAAGCAGTCACCTTTAAAGGACAGTACTTGTTTTTCTTCTTGCAGAAAAGTTTTGCTAACACTTGAGCCAAACGATTCTTTTCATGGGGACAAACATGCTGGCTGCCCAGGAAAGCTGCCTTATGCAGTTTTCCAAAGCATCCACCAGGAAACTCAATGCTTTTGGAAAATCTTCCAGGAACTGCCAGGTTGCAAGATCCCCTGGGTCACATTCTCTGGAAAGGAGGAGAATATGCTCTGCCCAAACTTTGAAGGTTTGGAAAACTCCCACTGCAGCCACTTCAGGCTTCAGAGTTTCTCCAACTAGAGAGAAGGAGACCTTAAAGAGGACTTCTTTAAAGCCGAATTCCAACTTTCTTTTCACTAAAACTGAATGGAATGATCAATCCCAGAAAAGATCATTCTTCTGTTACATGTTGTTCTGTTGTCTGCAGATCCCGATATTCTGGGTTTAGTTGTGGGTTTGTATCATGTGACACTCTGTATATCCTGCTGATGGACTTTATCCCACCCACAGCCACTTCCTGCAGCAGCTAGAGTCTTTCAGACTCTGCATATTATATACCTTCATTTACAGCTCTGATGGTGGGTGGGACTGAATACATCTTAATTGGCATTAAATCCTGCCTAGTCACACCTAGAGGAAGACTCCAAACCTCCCAAGTGCCGCCTCACAGATCACAGCTTTATCCCGGGTGGAAACACCTTCATACACAGCCTGTTCTGAATGCTAGCTGTGCTGCTGCTGGATGGGATTGAATGGATCCCACCCTCCCAGAGCCCTGCTGTCTGTGAAGTGATTAATTTACATATGGAGGAAACACCTTCATAGTTACATAGTCTGGCTGAAAAAAGACAAAAGTCCATCCAGTTCAACCATTAAAAAAAGGTTATAATCCTACACCCACATTTGATCCAGAGGAAGGCAAAAAAACCAGCAAAGCATGATCCAATTTGCTCCTGCAGGGGAAAAATTTCCTTCCTGATCCTGAGAGGCAATCGGATATTCCCTGGATCAACTTTACCTATAAATGTTAGTATCCAGTTATATTCTGTGTATCCAAGAAAGAATCCAGGACTTTTTTTTAAAACAATCCACTGAGCTGGCCAGAACCACCTCTTGAGGGAGTTTATTCCACATTTTCACAGCTCTTTCTGTGAAGAAACCTTTCCGTTTTTGGAGATTAAATTTCTTTTCCTCCAGACGTAAAGAGTGCCCCTTGTCCTCTGTGATGACATCAGGGTGAATAGCTCTACACCGAGTTCACTATATGAACCACTGATGTATTTATATATGGAGACCATATCCCCCCTTATGTATTATACATGGTGATCATATCCCCCTTATGTATTATACATGGAGATCATATCCCCCCTTATGTATTATACATAGAGATCATATCCCCCCCTTATGTATTATACATGGAGATCATATCCCCCCCTTATGTATTATACATGGAGATCATATCCCCCCTTATGTATTATACATGGAGATCATATCCCCCCTTATGTATTATACATAGAGATCATATTCCCCCTTATGTATTATACATGGAGATCATATCCCCCTTATGTATTATACATGGAGATCATATCTCCCCTTATGTATTATACATGGAGATCATATTCCCCTTATGTATTATACATGGAGATCATATCCCCCCTTATGTATTATACATGGAGATCATATCCCCCCTCATGTATTATACGTGGAGATCATATCCCCCCTTATGTATTATACATGGAGATCCTATCCCCCCTTATGTATTATACATGGAGATCATATCCCCCCTTAATCTCCTCTTCTCGAGAGAATAAATTCAGTTCCTCTAATCTTTCCTCGTAGCTGAGCTTCTCCATGCCTCGTATCAGTTTGGTTGCCCTTCTCTGTAGTCTTCATAATAACCTCCCAGAGCCCTTCCTCTGCAGTCTTGCAGTAGGCCATTATACATTGGCATGCTGCAAGAGAGGAATGACACAGGAGGAAGTATGACACATTTACACCTTTCACCACCCACATGAAGGCCCAGAAACACACACAGTAACCCTAGGACCCTCCCACATCAACTCCCAGAACTGGTACAAGTGACTCTCTTAGCCCACCCCAAAGCCACAGAGGTTCAAAGGATCATGGGACATGTAGTATAAGGACTGGAAAAGGAAGGAAACAGGAAGTTTGAGAACTTAGAAATTCAACCAGGAGGAGTGACACCACAGACACAGAAATCTGCTGTATACAGATAAAGGAGGTAAATTACACGCAAAGTGACAGTGGGGTTATGATTCATTCACATGCACAATGCCTTTTGTTATTTTGGGAAAGAAAACTGGAGTTCTTTGAGACCTCATATACTGGGACTGTCAAGATCCTGTGCAAGTAGGAAATGGCCGGATCAATGGTCAGAGAACCCCGTTTCCTATAGAATTCCTTCTCCACGTGCTGAGCAAATTGATTTCAGGGGTGTATGGGGTGTGCAGGGAGGGGTAGCACCTCTGGTGTAATGGCAAGTCATGTTCTTTCAGGGCAGCTCATTCACCTTTGTTTCCCACCTGTCACTCAGCTATTACCTCTGGCTCCTAGTAGCTGTATCATGCACAGTGGCCAACAGCTTCAACAAGCTGGCCAAACCAGGTTGAGAGTAGCCGTTGGGTTGACCTTCGGTGAGATAGGGACTTGTCTATCCCGAGCATGTGAAGACAGATTTTGGTGGATTGAGTGGATGAAACCTACTAGAACAGGACAACACTCATGAAGGCGGTCCCCGCAAGTAATGTGGTATGCTAAGACACAAAAGGCGCCCTGGTCGACCACTGCACCCAGCCCATCTCCAATTGTCTCGGCTCTTGTCCTGCCATTGAAGCAAGATGGAATCTAGGAAAAGAGAGTGAGGCTGACTATACGCGCACCTCTCTTTAACTTTAATCCAATTCAAGTGCAAGTCTTGACATCCCCCAACCCCTATAGATGTTAGATGTCAAGATCCTCTTCAAACATGATGGGCGAACATCATCATCATAATCGCTTTCAAGGTTTCAAGGTGAAAACACCCCCCAGGTGATCCCAATTGGCATACATCTTTTTTCCTGCAAATCAGAGTGCACTTAAGGGCTTTGGGGTGTTTGGGTGCCCTCTAGGACCCAAAGCTAGAGACTTTTGGAGAAAAAGACTACAGAATTGGTAACTTCAAGTTAGTGCACACAAAATCTGCCACAAAGCCTGCTGTGGTCTTTTGTGTCTGCAACAGCCCCAGACAATGAGATTCATCCTGGGAGCACTCATTTATAGAAGATTCTCAATTATCTTGAGATGTCCATGATGCCTCATCCTCCAGCAAAATGGGAGTAGAGGAAGGAGAACATGCTTGCATCCCAGGTGTTTCAAACCAGTGAAAATTTCTTAGAGCTGATTCCGTAAATCATGGATGGCTGCAGAAAGTCCTCCCTTGACACAATGGAACTAGAGAATTTTGCCCCTGAGACAGTAGAAATACCAGATAAGGGTTGGAATTTAGAGCTGAGTACAGGGCAGACTATGCAGGAGGTCTTCCCTACTTGGTAGAGGGATTTCAAAGCCCACCCAGTCACACTTCCCCCAACCTCTCTGCCTGAATGAGGCATGGGCTTTGTCAAGAGAACCAGAGAGCACACAGAGACATATTGCAGGGAACCCGTGTGGCGTTTATTGGGGAGGTTTTTGGGGCACAGACAACAGTTCCTTTAGTCCACAGATCCACACCAGACACAGCAACACAGTAAAGTTCTTTGGAAGGCAATATGGAACAACAGGGGTATGGTAATCCACAGGGTTCAGTCTTTTGGGCAGCACGGGGTTAGTCCACTTACTGGATGCGGGGAGCCGGACACAGATGTTTACAGTCCACACCAGCAACACAGGGTTATTCCACACAGGCAGCTCCAGGCAGGGAAGGGTTAGGTCCGTTCGGCTCACAGGCAACAAAGAGTTAAATCCAGGCCGGGAAAATGTCCAGCCCGCAGGCTCACAGGGAACAAGGGGTAAGTCCAGCCAGGGAATGAGTTCCAGGCAGCAGAGAGTTCACCCCACACAGGTGAGGATCGAGCAGCATGGACAGTTCGGTCAGCCAGGGAGATGAGAAGGAGGACGGGGGATGGTCGTATGAGAGAAACTGGCAAGCAGCACAGTCTTCTCTCACACACACAGCCAGGAGAACACAACTGGGGTTTCCTTGCACTCCCTTAAGTATGCAGTGGTAACCTGAGATTTCCTGTCAGGTTACCATGGCAACGGGTCCTGTCTCCCAGGTCTCCAGAGCCCACCAAGGGAACAAGGCCTCTGGCATGGAGCCTGGGAAGATATGC